TATCTGATTTAGGAATATATGCAAATATGAATTATCTATCTATATATGTATTTATATGTACCCATAATCATACATGCACACACACACACACACACACACACACACACACACACACACACACGACAAGGTCTCACTTTGTAGATTAAATTGGGCTTGAAGTCAGAGATCTGCTTGACTCTGCCTCCTCCAGTGCTCGCTCACGCACACACACACACACACACACACACACACACCTGTTTAAGAATGTGTGTGTGGTTGGTTTTTCCTGCATGAATGTCTGTGTGCTCAAGGAGGCCAGAAGAGGGCACCAGATTCCGTGGGAACGCAGTTACTAATGGTTGTGAGCTGCCATGTGGATGCTTGGAACTAAAACCAGGTCCTCTGGAAGAGCAGCAGGTGTGCACACCTGTTTAGATGTCTTTCCGGTGCCTTCCTATATGTTTTCTTAACTAGCTTCTCATAAAACCAGTCTTTTAATGTCTGTCTGTGACTGACAGTGACTTTTTTGCAAAATTATGAAAACTGTGGCTGTCTTTTGGAAATCCCTATTGTAAGTTAATATGTTAGAAGCTTTCCAGAAACCATATTGCTTTTAACAATATTAATTCACATTTATCATCCTTTTTTCTCTATAATTGCCCTAGAAACCTCCTGTTTCACATAGCAGTTGTAAGTAGCAAGGATCAAAAAAAAAAAAAAAAAAAAGTTCTGGGCTCAAGGAAACACTCAGGTGGCTGAACTGCTTGCTGAACCAGTGTGGGGACCTGAGTTCTGATCCATGACACCCACCCACACATGTGGCACCACACATCTGTAATTGCATCATTTCTACAATTAGAGGGCAAGGTTGGAAGTGTGTACAGGACAGTCTTCAGAACTCTTCAGGTCAACTTTCCTGTCACTCTCAACAAGGGGCTGGAGACCCACGGTTGGTAGGAAAGTGTGGCCTGACACCCGAAGTTGCCCTCTGATTCCCACACGTCTGCCACAGTGTGCATGTGCCTGTTTTATTATTTTATTGCTTGTGTAGCTATATGAGATTAGGTTGAACTCAGGGATCTGGTTGCCTCTGTGCTATCCAATGCTCGATAAGAGCCAACATGTCCAGCTTGATAAAACTGGGAGCATGTATGTGTGCCTGAAACACCAGGTGCACACAGACATTTTTTTTAAAGGCTGCGCTGAGGAAAATATTTTAGTAAATAAGACACTGATTTTTTGTTTATTGAAACCATTGTGTCTACTACATTTTGAGAATCCCCAGAAATGTATCTCAGCTTAACTTTGAAGGTGAGGCATTTCCAGGGTTAACTCTAGGCATTTACAGGGTTAACTCTGGACTGTCAATGATTAAGTCACCTGTGACATAAGTACCTGGGAACAGGTGAAGGGTGGCTGCAACCGTGTGCATCTCATGGACCTGTGTGGTCCAGAGGAGAGAGGAGGGTGGAATGCCCACATAGCCATCACAAGGTGAGTGCTGTCAAAAGTGGAGTCAGAATCTAAATACACCCTCTGTGGAAGCTCAAAGCTTTATTACCCATGATCCCCCCCCCCATCACGTTTGGTTTTTCTAAGTCATTCTTCTAAGAGTGTGTGTTCCACAAAGGGCTCACATTTCTAATGGTGATTCACAGAGCTATTTTAGTCTTCAAATTATTTTCCCAGTTATGTAATCTTATTTTTATAATGCAGGTACACTCTGCCCTGCCCCACCTCAGATCCTGCAGAGTCATATTAGAACAATGGCGCCACGATAGGTTGTTAGTCAGAACATTTACTACTAACTCTCAGAGCACAGTTGAGACAAGATCCAGGAGAGAAGGCGAAGTACCTCAGTGTTTATGTAACTAGGACATAATCGACCATGTAATAAAAGTTTCCATAAGTCATCAGTGTGCCCTTTTACATTCACACAGAGGTGCAGGAGAGCATTATAGATGACTTTAATTACTTATCCATGTGCTTGTTTTTGTAAGTATCTGTATATTAGTATCTCCACCTAAGCTTATAAACTGAGTTGTCTATAATTAAAATGTGATGATGGTAAAATTATTAACCAAGCTGAAAAACACTTTGAATGTTCTCTTGATAATAAATAAAATGCTTCACTTACAAAACTATCATCCTATGTAGCCAATTTAAATATTCTAATGTAAGAAAATACTAGAGGCAAGGCATGGATGTACATTGCATTTAATCCCACCCAGGAGGGCAGAGGCAGAGGCAAGTAGGTCTCTGTGAGTTCAAGACCAGCTGGTCTGCAACAGTGAGTTCAAGGACAGCCAGAGATACATGGTAAGACTTGTCTCAAAATAATAACAATAAAAAAAATAGTGAAGGCAAGAGGAAGAAGTCTTGGCATTGAACAATATTGGGAAAAAGCATACATATAAAACCTGTCCTTATCATTAGCATGTACACACTTTGAATCCACAAAACAAAGGGGGCTCAACAATTCTAGGAATAATAAAACAAAGGCTAAAACTTTCCAGAGTTCTATGGAATGAAGGTAAGCATTCCATCTCAGAATTAGAGCATTTGACTCTGGGATCAAAGTGAAAGTCTGAAGGCGAAATAGAGAATGTGTTTGAAAAGTGAATCTGGGCTGGTCTAGAGGGAAATGTGTTTGCCATCAAGGCAGGGAATCTAAGTTCCGTCACTGGGATTCCCACGGTAGAAGGAGGGAAATGAGTTCTGCAAGAAGATGTCATATGACTGTCACAAGCACCATAGTATTTGCCTGAATGCACACATGTGTGTGTGTGCGCGCTCATGTGCACACGCACACACACACACACACACACACACAGAGAAAGAGTGAGTGCAAATAAATAAATAAATAAATGCAATTAAAAATTAATCCATATTGGTCAGGACCCTCCTTCCATTAGGGAAAGAAATTAGCTGGGAAAATGTACTGTTCTCAGTGTGGTTATTGGTTCAATGGCTCAGGGATTAGCTTGATAAAAAAAAATAAGTAGACCCAGATATGCAGAAATGGAATAGACTTCACAAGGAGTGAACTTAATTAGAATAGCACAAAAGCTCCCTTTGAAAGGAAAAAGAAAATGACAGACAGAAAAACGGTAATCTACTAAGTAGGGTTTTTAAGTGCTTAACTCTAACCATAGCTAAACAACATGAAAATGGAGAATCCAGTGTAGAGAATGTGATCAAATGCCAACCAATGAGGGTTTCCCTGATATCATTCCCATAACTAATTTTTCAGCAGGAACTATAAACCATGAATCAATTATTATGCAGTGGTATTAAGATTAAAGCAATGAGGCTTTATTCCCTCAAAGAAGCATTTTCCCAAGGGCCAATCCTCAGAGTCCACAGTTCAGTTATTATTTTTGAAATGTTGTCCTAACTCAGTTTTAACTATGAGCCCCACAGGGAATTATACATTGAGGAACTGGATAGTCATCTTATGTGTTCTTGTAGATGTGCTAGAATTTATGACTGAATCACTGCTGTATGCATATGCATTTTTTTTTCAGTTACCAGGGCTAATGTCAGCACCTTTGAATTGGTGGCTTGCTGTCAAAACCAGTTTGGAGAGCACAGTCTAGTATAAGAGAAGGAACTGGGCTGTATCTCTTCTCTATTACTATAAAGAAATTCATCTTCCAGGTACACAGTTGAACTCCAGTTAAGACAGAACAAGACTAGGTAGGTGTAGGGTAGGCATTCTTGCTAACAACATTTAAAATTTCCTAGTAGGTACACTAAAGCTACATGCCTCCAATATTTCCATAATTAAAAGCAATGGCACAGATATCATGTTCAGGACATGTATAATAATATCACAATGAGGGCTACTGGTAAAGTGTTTGCTTATAACATCTCTTGGAGAGACATCACTCAACCCACAATGCCTGGGAACCACTGTTACTTTTCCATGTGGCATTCGTGAGATGATGTCCAGAAAGAACAATAGCAACACTAGTAAAACACAAAGTGATACTGAATGTTCAGTTATAAGTGACTCTTCTATACCATGCCTCTCAGAGCACAGGGAACACCACAGAGAAAAGGCTGAAAGAATGTAAGAGCTGGAAGAAGAGGTGGAGTGTCCTGAGCATGACTCAGTGTGACACAATTGAGGCCACAGACACTATGGTCACGCACAAAATGAGGTCTGCCAACATCCTATTGCAGGGGAGGAAGGCTTATAAAATCCTGCCCCACCCCAAGGACTTATCGGCAGTTAATGGTTAATGGGAGATGAGAGATCTTCCCTGGAGTGGGTCATTATGCAAGCTCCTGTAAATGATCCCCTACCCCTGCTATTGTAACAAGCCTCTCACTGAGGACAAGACCAGGTTGCAGAAACACATAGAGACAGCTGATCTGAACAAGGAGGAGCTAATGGGGCCCCCGGACTGATAGCTGGGAATCCTGCATGGGACTGACTCAGCCCCCCTGAACATGGGTCTTAGCCAGAAGGACTGAGCAGTCTAAACGACCTCAGACAGTGGAGCCAGGATGTATCCCTGGTGCACAAAAGGACCTTGGGGGCACATCCCCCATGGAGGGACACTCCCTTAATATAGAGACAGGAGAGAAGTCCTAGTCCCTACTTCAAATGACTTGACAGATCTACATGACCCCACCTGGATGGCATGTGGAATTGGGGTGGGGTGATGGGAGGGGAGGGTGGTCAGGGTGCATGTGAGGGGGCAGAGAGGGTAAAAGAGAGAGAGAGGGAGGGAGAGGGAACTGGGAGCGACATGTAAAATAATAAATTAAAAAAAAGAAGCCTCTCACTGAGGTAGGTGGAACTGATTCTGAAGATGGAGGGGGTCAATGACAATATGAGGAGACACTAATGTCAAATGTGAGCAAGATGCATTCCATACATGTATGGAAATGTTATGATGAGGCCCATTCTGTATTTGCCCTCTGCTAATACAAACATTGACTAAACAAGTAAACAGCATGTTGAAAGAGACACTGAAACATACTGGTGATAAAAACATGACCTTCCTCCATAAGGTCAAACAAGCTTTTATTTGATTAAACACTACAATACCATATATGCCCATTTAAAAAAGAAAACTCTATAGTTTATATAAATTATTCTTTCCATTCCTTAGCTCTTTTCTTTTTCCATTACAGCTTTGGTACAGTGTGATTTAGTTTATATATTTTTAAAGACTTTTAGCATCACAAACTCAACACAAAGTACAAAACTAATCCGAATCAGGGATATTGTAATCTACACAGTGGTATTTCAGTGGTAGGAGAAAATCTTACCTTGATGAACTCATGTCACTAGCTAAGCTAGAAAGGCATACCTAGCAGACATGACAGAAATATGCACCATTAACCAGCTAATGTGTGTATTAGTCTTTGATTAGTTTGTACAGAATACCAGCAGCAATCATTTGAGCGTTGAGTGGATATAGAAGTCCTCAGCCAGTTGCCCACGTCTCCTCTTCCTGTGAAGACCATGAGTTAGCATCTAATGAAGTGGACCGCAGGCAGCCTGACGTCTCAGAACTTGACCTGCCAATTCGCGTTGCTCATGCTTGAACAGTTTGTCCTGCAGCTAGCAGACATGACAGGGACTGTGCTGGAAGGGCAGTGTGGACCCATCAACCTTAGGTTGTTCTGAGGGGTTGGCGGTGTGACGTTACAGTACACAGGCATTCCGGTGGCTGGGAGTGACCCTTGACCTGCCTGATTGGGCAGCATGATTGACGGTTGGTATGTCTGCTGGGGCACTGCTTGAGAACCTTGGGTCATTGGCACCTGTGCAAGACACAAGCAAAAGTGTATGTGAAAAGGCTGCTTCGGTGTGTCCAGTGGAGGATATGACGTTATCAATATTGCTCAAGTGTTTGAGTTGGACTAAACAGGTCATTAATCCTATACCTATCATGTAGCAGCTATTTCACTTGGAGAAAGTTTCTTAATGTGTCTGACTGTACAACTCCTGACATTGTTGCTTGGTGTCGTGGCTTATGATACATTGTATTACATTCACAGGTATCGGGATTCTGGTATCCTGTGGACCATAGGTTGCATATGCATGGATACCATTTGGGTAAGCACATCTCTGTCAAATAAAAAATAAAACGAAGAACCTCTGGAAGAATGGCAGGGACACATCTTAGGATGCAGCAAATGTTTAGACTCTTGAACTTTGAGAGTCTCCTTCTCTCCCCCCCCCCTCTGCCTTCTTCCTTTGCCCAAGCTTTCTTTCAGTGTGGGGAGGCCATGCCCCTTTCTGGTTTCACAAGAAGTTGTTTGGAGTCTTCAGCAAGGAGAGGGTTTTGTCCAGGTACAAGCACAGCTAAACTGAATGACCAAACCAGCTTACTCACTCCTCGTTTCTTCTTCTAGAAGGCAAAGGCTTCTGATTACAAACCATGAAATCACACATAAATATGTGTTACAGACCCAAGTTGCTCTTATCTGGAGAATGGCATGTGTCTGCCTTGCTGTGCTTTAAATGCATCTGAGATGCCATTAAAAATCTGTGATGACTTGAAACTATGGTAGAACAAAGTTTACTTGATAGAATAAAAAAATAATACTTTTTTTATATAACAAATATCATTTCAATAGCATGTCCAAAGGTTCTTCCTGTATATAATATTAAAGAATTTTCTTCTATGAATAGAAAATCTAAATGGAGGCAAATTCAGCACAGTATTTAAAAGACCAGACATTTTTCTCCTTCCACATCTCAATCAAAGTCCACCCATCGGGGAGGATGGTTCGAGCATCCACAACCCTATTAAGCACTGACCACAGGGAACTCCCTATAGTGCTTACTTTGAAAAGTGTGAGGTTGTGGCTGGGGCTTTCCCAGATGCTGGTACACACCTGAAAAGAAGACACGGTTGGGTAGGAGACCATTACACCCTGCACTGGGGCACCTTGCTGACTGCTCATCACGCCCTGGCTGTGAGGTGACTGCTGTACTCCCATCAGGCCTTGGAAACCCTGCTGGCCAGACAAGACTGGCTGGTAACCTGTGAAAGAAAGGAAAGGAAAGACCCTCTTGAATGGATTATAAGAGGCTGGAACAGAGACACATTGTGGCATCATTTCAAAGTGAGGCTCAGATAGCTCAGTCCCCATGCTGTGAATATGCTAGCCAGCTGCTTGTTTCCTAAAAATGAAAAGTTTTCAAAAAGAAATCTCCAAGTATGGACAATAGCATGGTTTCAAAAGGTATGCTGACATTTCCATTGCTACATAAAACAGTCCAATAAATTTTTTTCTGATATTTCTGTGGTTACAAAGAATGGTCCAGTGGAAACCCTCTGACATTTCCATTGTGCATAGGATACTCAGAAAATCCTGACATTTCTATTGTTACATAGAATGGTCTATGAAATCCTGGTGTTTCTATTGTTACACAGACTCTTCCAATGAGCATATGCGACTATGATTAATTCTTCATTACATAGAGGCATCTCTAGACATCATAAATTAGCACTTCCATGTTTGGCTTCCTCAGTGGTCTCCATGATTTCATATTACTGTGGATGTTTTAGTTGAAATGACTGCTTCACTTTCTCCCCAACTCTTCTGAACCATCTTTATGTGTGCAGAGACCACCAGTCTAGTCACATAGTATGAATTCTACTTGGATATGTCCTAGTGAACAAAATGGCTTCCTGAGTAATTAAACATCCACGGAGGAAAAACATGTCAGCAAAAGAGAAGTATACTGTATCTTTATTCTGTTCAACAATTAGTTCCTAAGGCAGCAGTTCAGGAAACTATGCAGTAAATAGTCATGAACCTTTATTAGATAGTATAGAATACAGTACTTTTTAAACAATTTCATATTTTGTTCATTTGTTGATTGTCCTTCTTTTCTTTCTTTTTCTTTAGTAATGGAGCAGATTTGATTTATTTATTTTTGTCCTCAAAACAAGTAGTTCAAAGTGCATTATAAAAGAAGATTGAGAACTGTTCTTATAAGTGTTGAAGAAAGTTACGACTTAGACAAGATGATACAGCAATAAACAAACACAGCCCCTTCAGCCTCTGCTGTAAAATAAGGTGCATCCAGAGATTATATAATATAGTACACTGAGAAACTGAGGATAAGAGAGGAGTGTCTTACCATAGACAGAGATAAGTTGTACAACCTGATTCTACAAATGAAACAAGAACACAGAATGTATACACATAGTTAATAAAATAGTGTGTACTGAGTACTTCCAAGGAAAGATAAAATTATAGCCTTTCACAGAAGAAACTACTTGGCTGTGTAAATACATATCTTCATTTATATCACAAATATCATAAAAACATGGTTGCAGAGAGAGATCTGAATGAGAAACCTAGTTCTGTTCTCCAAGTCGATTTGGAGCAAGTTGTTGGTACAGAAGACAGTAGACATCAAGTTTGGGGATAGGCCAAGTTTGGAGGTCTGACCGGGGCCTACAATTAGAAGGTTGAATCACTGTCTAGCTCTAAAGTCACCTTTTCACCTGTCTTGTGTGTCCTCTTATATTTATTCTCACTGCACACACTGCTCATTGCCACAAAGGCTTTTAATTTATTTTACATTTTTGTGAGGACACCACATACCACCAATATAATTAAAGGCAGTTCTTGCCTTTCTGATCTATCCTCACTGTAATGAGTACTCAAAACTTTCCTTAAAGTGCTCAGAGTCTCATGGAAGCCTCAGAGCACACCATTCTGAAGGGCTCACAACTATAGTGTGCACATCTTAAAGGCAAACCCACCTGACTTGGGTAAAGAAATACCACAAAGGCCACACCATTGTTATCACTACTTCTCAAAAGGTTTTGGATGCAGAGGTGCTTACATTTTCTTTAAAGATGGTTTCTGTTGGTCTTTAGTATCTGCACCCTCCATCCTAATTTATATATTCAGCTGCCATGAAATTCACATTGTGAGGTCAAGCAGGGGAGGTAGATAACGTAGAAAAGTCTTTGCCTTGCAAGCATGAGACCCTGAGTTCACTCCACAGAACTATTGTTTACAAGAAACAAATCTGGATGTGAGGACATGCCCTTGTAATCTGTCAGTGCTAGGGAGGCAGAGAAAGGCAGCTTCTGGGTCTTGCTGCCTTTCCAGCCTAGTCTGATGGGTGATTTCCAGGCCAGCAAGGGACCCTAAATTAAAAAGAAAAGTGATAACACCTGAAGAATGATACCCAAGGTTGTTCTCTGTTTTACACACACACACACACACACACACAGAGAGAGAGAGAGAGAGAGAGAGAGAGAGAGAGAGAGAGAACCCATACACACAAAAGAAACATAACCCTAAAATAACAACCTGAGACTATTTTACGACTTCATCTATGTTCTTTGTGGCATGCATTGTTGTACACACAGGAAAATGACTCAATATGGCTGTGGGAGAGTTAGAGTCGATGATGAGCTGTATTCTCTTCTTATCATTTGATTTTGTAGCTGACAGCAGTCAGTGTGAACTCACTGTCAAGGTTATCATAACAGAGGTGTATTTCTGCCCCATAACTGAGGGCAATCTTCTAATATTTGAAATCTCAATGTAGCAGCTAGATCAGTGGTCCTCAACCTGTGGGTCACTATCCTTTTTGGGTATTGAACAAACCTTTCACAAGGGTCACATAAGACCATTGGAAAACAAAGATAATTACATTACAATTCATAACAGCAAAACCACAGTTAAAAAGTAACAAAGAAAATAATTTCACACGAGGACCTGTGTTTAAGGGTCACAGCATTAGGAAGGTTGAGAACCTCGGCTCTAGATAAATCAAATGAGCACGAGAGGCTCATCAAAGGTGGGATGAGGGGGATGCGGAGATGGTGGCCTAATGTCTGAAACTCATTTGCACGTTTGCTGAAAGAATGCCCTCATCCTCCCACAGAGCCACTGTGTTAAAAAAATAACCTGATAGTGCTCAGAAGAGATTTATGCACCAGCGCACGCGCTAAAGCAAAACTAAGGTGAAGGGAAAGAACAGAGGTGTAATGACGTTCGGGTAAAGATGTTCAGGCAGGGGCGGGGTGGAGGGGGGAGAGAAAGAAGGAGGGAGGGAGAAAGGAAGAGAGGGAGAGAGAGGGGAAAAGAGAGAGAGAGAGAGAGAGAGAGAGAGAGAGAATTCCTTTGTAGAAAATGAAGGTGACACTCAAGGACAGGGAAAGCCCATGGGGCTGAGTCACCACATCTCCATATAGGACAGCCAGCTACAGAGTTATCCATCCTCCCTAGGTGCACAGAGGCAGACACATGCAGCCTCTCCCTCTCCAGGCCTCATCCCAGGATGGTTTGTGAGAGTTAGCATTTGGTTATGCATAGCAATATGCTACCAGCTCTGCATCAGGGTCCCACAATAAACACACTTAAGGCAAATAAGGATTTATGGGGGGTGGGCTGTGTGGGGGTGTGTGTGCGAATAGTCTTCAATTTCAAGCTGAAAACTGAAGTGTAAGGGAGGCTCAATTTATATTCATGAATCCCATTCGTTTCTCAATTTGCTCTCCAGGCAAGAAATTTACATCTGGAATGGTTTAATTGGAAGTACCCATTTCTTTAAATTATGCCAGGGAAGGTGGGCTGCAGAGGGGTCCCTAAGATAGGAGACTGCTGAGAATGTGAGCTGAGCTCCTGTGCAGACACAGAGAACTAAAAATAACATAGTGATGACCCAGGAATGAACCAGCAGCTTCTGCCCAAGACAGAGCCTTTGTCTGAGGCAGAGATGGCAGAGTCCCCGGCAGGCTGCTTATCTTGCCTGCTCAAATGAAAAATGTGTTCCAGTTTGTCAATCGGTAGCTGTGAAATGATCACTCTTTCATATTTATTGAGGATTAGTCAGCTATAATATATCTTACAAAATAGAAAAAAGAAAAAAAAGCAACACCCTCCTGCCTGATGGCTTGCTCAGGAAATGATGGAGACATTAGCAGTTTTTTATTATTTTATACTCAGTCAAGATTGATTCAATTTTCAAGTCACGTGTGCCATTTCTTTTTCTCAAAGTGAAAAGGTTAAGGGTAGATGATGCCTCCTGGCCACTAAAGGGCCAACTCTACTAAGTGAAGATTTTACAGAGTGTACAATGTCTGGCTCTTGTAAAGCTGAGGACCAAATAGGGCTTAAAGTACAAGAGAGACTGAAGCTGTGGGCAGTTTGAGGGACTTGCTTAATAGTCAGTTTGTCCTGATGCAGTACAGTGAAAACTCAGAATGTAAAGCAATCTACATGGTACATTGTTGAGACTAATATTTAACTTAAAGGCTTCGCTATAGATGACACATTGGCCATCAGGGGGATTTAGATTAAGTCTATTGCTGTTGGCTGTGGAAACTGCAAACCAGGAAAGTAGAAAGAGAATGAATTTCTCAGAAAGTTATTTCTGGATATCTTAATCTACCCAAGCAGCGTGATTTACATGTTATGCTATTAGTGAAGCATTCTTTATGTAGTAGATGTTTTTCCCACATAATATACAGTCTGTATAATATAATGATTTTTCCTATCTGTGGTGGTGATTTCATAAGTAGAGTGTTTGCTATGCAAGTGTGAAGACCAAGGTTCTGATCCCCAGAACTTAAATAAACGCTGCCTAAAATTCCAGCACTTAGAATATAGAGACAGGTGATCTTTGGAGCAAGCTGGCTACTGAGACTAGCCTATCAGTGAGCTCTGGGTTCAACTGAGAGGCCCGCCTGCCTCAATGAGTAGAGATCAATTGATAGAGATTCCTAATGTTGACCTGAGGCCTCTACATGCATGTATATATGCTTTCACCTATACATATCCACATAAACACACACTCATGCAGATATACCACATAATTACCCGGTACATTTATCCTGGTATTCCCAAAGAATTGTATCTGGAGTGGCTTGCTTCTCAATTCAGACTCTGCTCTTTTGTCTAAGGTATAAGGTGGGATCGTTGCAGTTCTTGATGATGGAAAAACTGATTATTAACATGAAGACAAATTGATTATTCGGAACTGGTTCCTTCTTTTTAAACTTTCCAT